CCAGCCTTTTCCTCCCCAGCCAGGATCAAAAGGGCCCAGCAGCACCTTGAGCCCAAATGACTTCTGGAAAATCCAGATCTGGTTTTGAAACTGCAGAGACGGATTTCCAGGGGAAAACCACACAAAACTGCACCAGTCCAATCACCTGGTTTCATTTAAGCCCACGAGCTGAAATCATCCACCTAAGATAATCATTTCCAAGCCGAGCTGGATTCAGTTCAGATAAGACAACAACTGACTGGCAGTTAGTAAACCTTTCCCCCTCACTGTTACGTTTTTTTGTCCTTTCACTGTGGCCCCTTCTGAGGCTCTGAATAGGACCAGAAAAGGATGGGGCGGTAGCAAGAGCTTTTCTCGCCTGGCCACAAAAATAAGAAGCACCCTGTTCTCATCCTCCAATCTCCTGGCATGGGCGAGCATGAATGCATTTCATCTAAACAATTCAGCTTTGGACCATACCCCAGAACTGATTTGGACCTCCGAGAGCTAAGCAGAGCCAGGCAGGACCCCCCCGCCAAAGCTGACGTTGTTCCACCCCTTATATCAAGGCAAGCTTTGGCCTGTGATCTTCTGAAAGATCCCAATCATTGACCTGGAGTGGTGATCGGTGATGGTGCTAACTCGGCTCTTGGAGAGGAAAGCCCTTCCTGCTCTGCATTGCTATGAGCAAAGCATCTCTCCCAGAAATGGCTGCACCCAAAGTCTCTCCATCTCTTGAACCCTTTTGCTTCCATACTCTGGGAGTTCTGCCTCCCAGACATGCTGATTTAAGGATTTGTCAAGAAAATACCATGAATTTCAGCAAGATGCTGCAGGGTGGTGGTGGGGACTGAGCAAGGCCAAAAACCAAGACTGCCTGATGCTCCCACTGAGAGGAAAGGCTGAAATATGGAGGGTTCAAGCTTCCTGGACAAAATGGTACTTAAAAAGTCCAATAAAAATCACTGTAAGAAGAATTACGATCGGATGCTGGGCCCATCAGATTGCTCAACTTGGCTCAGCCTCCACTGGGCTTTCACAGGGAGCCAGCATGAGCAGCTCCCGGTGAGATGGATTGCTCCCTGGTCGCGCCTTTGGGCAGGGATCAGGGAGATCCAGCCCTCCAGCAACATGGGGATCCAAGAGACGCTGTCAAGTCATGGCTCGCAGGCTGTCAGGACACCCGGCTCACTCCCAGCCCACAGATAACCCTCTCCCAGCATCCAGCAAGAGGTTCCTTTGCTGAAGGGAGGTCTGTAACCCTGCTGAAATGTTCTCAGCTACTGGCCTTATGCAGGCTTGGTTGGGCTTGAGCAGACCCCTAAATAACCCTTCTCTCCACAACAACGATGCAGAGCTATAGGACTTGCTCCTTCCCCAGTGGGGCTGTTCACTGACAGGATCTGTGGGGGCTCGGGACTGGGGGCTTCAACCATGCCAGCAGCACCAGCATGAGATGTCCCCTGTGTAGCAAGGCTGGGAAGTGTTGCAGACACCTATCCAAAGCTTTGGTCAAAGGTGATGGGCACATCCTGATCAACACACCTCCGATCCCTACAGCCATCCCTGTTGGCACTCATCCAGGGAGATAGATGCATGGGATGCAGGGAGCACCAAGCTCTCCCTACCTGCTCTTCACCAAAGTGCCTGCGTTCTGTGCCTGCAATAGGCTGTGTGTGCATCCCCTCATCCTGCTCAAGGGTCCTGTTGCTGCAGGCTCTGTGCTTTTGCCTTGCTCTCCCTGGCTGTGGCGGGAGCAGACCCACACCGGCCCAGCCGGCCCAGTGCCTGCACCAGGCTGGCGGCCGTGCCTCACAGCCCAGGGCTGCTGTGGGTCACAGTGCCACGGGCATCAGCTCAGGGCAGACACTGAGGAGGGCTGTGGCCAACCGAGGTGGCACATGGAAACTGGGGAGGCCGAATGCAGCTGCCCCAGTTGGCATCTGCCCAGAACAGTGAGGAGAGGTCACAGAAAGGAGCAGTTTCTGCAGCTGTGTTGGTACCCACATGGAGCACTCGAGGGGGAGATGTGTCACCCTCAAACCTGTCCTCTCCCATGGGCACAGCAGGGCTGGGACTTCAGCAGCTCTTTCCTCTCGAGCCAGAATGTTGGCTGATGGATGTGGATAAATGCTGCTTCCTCCAAGACCTTCCTTACAAGCAGCCCCTCTCGTGGTCATGCTCTGGAAAGGTGCAGGAGGATATGGGGACTGGCATGGAAAGACTGAATAATAGAGAATGTCCTCAGAAAGGCCTCTTTGGACTCATGAAAAGCAGCATGGCCAGATAAATGTTCTCCTAACGGCAACAAAAAGACACTGAGGAATCCCTGTGGCCAGTTCAAATGTGGGGACACTGCTCAGGTGTCAACACTTGCCACCGGCTGGCTTAACAGGGTAAGCTGCATGCAAAAGTGACCTGAGGGAGAGGCAAAGCAGTCTTTCAGTCATTAAGAAATGCATCCCATGCCATGCAACCTCATTTCAGGCAGGGGAGGGGATGGCACAAGCCAAGTCCTGCCTTAGGAAAAGGCTGGGGCAGCTGCACTGGGAGGGATGTGCTCTGGCCCCTGGAAGGAAGGAGCCCAAGGTAAGAAAACTCCACCAAGGACGAGGTTCTGGCTGGGGGGTCCCTGGTGTGAGTGCTGGGGCTGCTTCCACTCCCTGGCTCAGTGAAGGTGTGAGCATGGAGGTGCTACAGCTCCACACAGAGGTCTTCACCTCAGGAGCCAAGCTCCTTGCAGAAAGGGCTATAAGAAGCCATCTCTGCATCTCCTCAGCTGCCATACATCCACATCCATTGACAGACTGGCACTGTGGTCTGCTCTGCCATCCCTGCAGCAGGCTGGGAATGGAGCGGGCTTGGGAGGCTGTGGTGGGAGGAACAGAAGGATCCTGGTGTGGAGCACAAAACCTCAGTGCTCCCACGCCATGAGGCAGAACATTCAGTCTGCAAGTCCCTGCTGAATAGCAGGGGCCCATGAGAAATCTGGTGACCCTCTGTGCCCCATGCATCCAGCACATTCAGGTGGCACTGCTGGGATGCACCTACAACATTGCCCCAAAGTGCAGTGTTGGGTGGATGAAGGAGCTGCAGAGGCTGCAGGAGCTGCCAGCTCTCACATTGGTCATGAGAAGACTCGGGGTGTTCCTGCCCATGCCAGGGGCTTGGGTCTGCCATGGGATCCCTTAGAGACAGGAAAAGATGGGGGTGGAACAGGAACTCAGGGAAGGAGTGGGGAAAAGGAGGTGGTGAGGTTGACTATGGACTGTAATTGAGCTCCTCAGGAGATGGGGAAGATTTATCCTGATGGAGGCAGGTAAGCGAGGCTCACATTGCCAGGAAACAATGCTGTAAGGAAGACAAGACCTTCCCCTGCTTGGCTTCAGATCATTAGGTGGGACAGTCTCTTCTTAATAGCCCACTACTTCATTGTGATGGACTCACCAAACCACACGCCTCATGTTGGCACCTAATTTATAAGGCAAAGCAGCAAAAGGACTGGTCACCAGCACCTGAGCTGGCAGGTGTCCTTATGCTCCTTTCCACCCTGCATGTCAGTGGAGACGCTTTAGGAAGCACACACAAAGCAATAGGCACAAACCCAAGGCTGCAGTTTGGTTTTTGCTTATACCAGTCTAAGACGAGACCCTGAAACAAGAGTTGCTGCTATTGTGTTTACGAGCGGCAGAACTTGTCCTGTGTATCAGTCCTACAGAAAACCCTGGGCTTTGCTTTCCCATGACACCGAGGACTGAAGACCTCTGTCCTTTTGCTCCCTGGGCTTCCCATCTCTGGAAGAGCTCCTGAGCATACAGCAACAGGCACAGCCTGCATGAAAAGCCCTGCCACAGGACAAGCCTTGGCTCAGAGTTCAATTCAAGGGGATGTCCATCACTTTTAGTACAAAATCCTTAATTTATGACCCCTCCTGCACTGGTGGGACAAAAGTAAACATCCTTTACACCCCGTGTCCTTCAGAGCCCTGACACTGCTCAAATAGCCTCAGAATCCACCGCAGTGGGGCAAGGTGAGTAACGCTTTCCCGAGGCCTCTGGCTCCTGCCATCACCCCCTGCTCAGACCAATCTGACCTGAGGGAACTGGGGACAGGATAGCCCCCGTGACACGGTGGGGCAGGAGTCAGCCCCTCTAGGAGTGTAAATAAGGAGGGGATGATGGTGGGGTGTTGGTGCAGTTGTGGTGGTGGAGATGGGCTATATGAAGAAACATGTTGAGCCCAGTTGCACGGGTCGTATTTGATGCAAAGGACAAGGGAGGGGAGCAGGAGGGTACATACACTGTGATATGACAAAGCTTTCTCAGGACTACCCTCTGTATTGCAGCTTGCATATATATGGTGATCCAAGTCCATGAGGGCTGTGCTGCTGTCCCCAGGCTGCAGGACCTCCTGCTCCAATCTAAGAGGCTCCTGCTCTTACAGCCGCTGGCCTTGAGACACTTTTGAGCACAACTGGCCCCAACAATGCCACTAACCACAGCGTGTCCCACACCAAGAACACACAAAGGCAGACATGAGATACATTGCTATAGCATACACAAGTCACATCAGCACCTAAGGTTGCTTAACACAAGAAATAACAGGCAAATAAAGGCAATCCTTCCATGCAGCAGCAAGCAGTGCTTAGGTGTTTTTTCTGTTTCAGGGGATTTTTGTTTCTCCAGTCCTTCTCCACCAGAATTCAGTGAAACTGATAGCCTCTTGAGAAGGTAACCCTTAAACTTCAACAATCAACCAGTGGTGGTCTTGAGTCCTTACCTCTTTCTCATCAAACATTGCTTCCACACTGAGTAATAGATACAGCTCCTCTGGGAAAACTTCTCTGCATCTTCTCTATGCTCCCATGTGTTCCTAGAAGCACCCATCTCCCAGGATGCTGAACACACCTTTCAAACACTTGGACACTTAGGGCATAAAAGGAACCTGCAATTTCATCTCAGGCAGATGAGGGCTCAAAAGACATTTACCATCAAGATGCTTTAAAAGAACAGAGAACATACCTGCAGGCTCCTCTGTGCTGCTGGCGGCCGTGGTGGGGGGAGCGGCAGGGATCTCTGCGCAGGACAGCGAGAAGCAGATGGGAAAAGAGAGGAGATAAAAGTAGGAGGTGTTATTCCACATCCCAAAGAGCTTGGCCCCTGCACACACCTCATTTTCCTTTCCCAACCATGGGAGGTGTTTCCCAACTATGTCCTCTAACAATGAGCTTTGCAAGAGCCCCAGAAAGCAGCAACCAGGCCTGTGTCTACTGCGGAACTGGGCCTCAAAAAGGGTGTAGGAAAACCAAAACTTTTAGCTTTGGCTGCAAATAAAGGAAGATAGAGCCAGCCAGAAAACTGGTATGGCCCAGATACAACCTGCTGCAAGGGCTTGGTCCCAGTGTGCAACCCTGGGGAAGGGATGCTCTTGCTGGGGCTTGGAGGGTGTAGGGTGCCCAGCCCCAGCAGACAGTGGAGCACTGCTGCCTTTCCTTGTCCCTGGGTTGTCCCTTCCAGCTGCTGTTTCCATCCATGCCTGAGGCAGTGCTATCCCTCCTCTTGTGTGAGGTAGCATGCAGGTAAAGCATGCATCTATATGCTGTGATATGTTATTTAAAGGAAACAGAAACGTATCTGGTGCCAATGCAATGGTCCCTGGCTTTGATTTGGGGCTGGCTTTGCATAGCTGAAATCATATAATGTTCTGGATATTCATGCCCAAGTCTGACTGTGTTTGTTGATGCTAAAAACGATGGACTGCAGATGGAGCACATTATATGGTCCCAACTTTGGCAAGATGATCTCCTTTCCCCAGTGCACATACACAGATTTCATCACTGACATCTTTTGTGCATTTAGGGCACAGTGATGCAATTTCTATGCATCCCTGGGAATCCTGGCAGGGGAACACACCACCAGTCCATTTTGAAGGTGGAATTTCAGCATGATCTGGGGGTTGGCATCAGTCTTTTTCTGCTTTTGCTCTCAGGAACCTGCCTGGCCATAGAGGCAGGGATTGCTGGGGTCTGTCTGAATTGCAGTGATGGCAGCTCACAGGGATGCAGCCCAGTTAGCATTAGATGACTTTTTGTGCTGTTCAGCCCCCATGCAATTTAACACAGGCCCAAACCCATGTGAAACACATAGTGCATAGTCAGGCAGTACACAAACAGCCAGCACAGCCATCCCGGAGCTGGCATCTGGGTGGGTGCTCATGCTTGCTGGTGTGGGCTGCAGTACAGACAGACCCCATTGGTGCCTAGTTCATTCCCCATGAGGTGATTGTTGCATGACTATTAGTCTTTGGGACAAGGAAGATGTAAACAGGGGTAAATCAGAGAGTAACTGCTCTTGCAGAGAAGGTGACAGCCCCTTGCTAGCTGCAGCATACATGTACCCTCCCAGTGCCAGGCAGGAGAGCAGTGTGGGAAGGGATGGAGGGCAAGTGCTCTCTACTAAGCATGTACAAAATGCCTGTGAAGTGCACCCCCCACCACACAGGATACGCTGCCTGACAGTTTTCAAGGATGAAAACGTACTGGTTGGGTTTTTCTAGGCTGAGAGAATCGTGAGTTGCTCATATCTTCACTTTAACTGCTTTAGCATCATATGTGAAGATCAAACTCCCAACAACTGCACAGCGGCTTCATAGCCAGGCCAGGGTGTTGCTTGAAGCACATTTGAACACAGGTTTTGGCCCCTCAGAACGGACATTTTGCAGAGACACCACAGTCAGGGGCTCTTGCAGGTGGAGGCTGGTGGCCAGGTTGAAGGGCCAGGGCAGGGCAGCCCTGCCAGGCTCACACCGCATCCTGGTGTGAGCATCCTGGAGCGCAGGCTGTGTGAGCACAGCCAAGTTCCCAGTGCCTGCTCGGACTGTGTTGAAATTCTGTGTCTGTCTTTATTTAGTGCGATGAATCCCAAGGGAGGTGATGCAAGGAACAATTTACTCTCTGATTTACCATGGCTCTGGGGAATGATTAATGATAAACCTTTGCGCATACTTGCTGCAAAGCATACTGAAGCCGTGACTGTAGCATCTTGGGGAAAAAAGCATCTGGTTTGAGCTCTTGCTGTCCCATTGCAACACAGGGAAGAATGACTCTCTAGTGACCAAAAACCACCCTGGAATGTATGTTTTCCTCAGCAGGAGAAGGTGGAGAAAGGGTATCTGCCCCATAGCTTGGCAATGGCCAACCCAAGAGGCAGATGCTGTGAGGGCACAGCACGGGAGCAGACTGTGGGTTCCCAACAAAGACTTGATTCTTTCAACGTTCACTTTTCCCATTGGGCCTTCTTGCCCCCTTTAGCAGCAGGGAGTCAGCCTCAAGGGGAACAGCCCCTCCTTCCCATCCCATCCCAGGCACTATAATTCCAGTGCTTTGTTTCGTTAGGGCAGGTGATGTCTCGCATGAGGTGCATGAGCTACTGAATGATCCAATAACAGCAAAGCCAACAGGCAGCAGAGAGGAGGACTGGGATGAAGCACACCTTGTCCCAGCAGTGAGTGCTCAGACGGACTGGGTGGGGATGTGGATGTCTGCAGAACAGGTGCTGCAACAGAGAGACTTTGGGAGCTGTACCTGGTGCTTGATGCTGTTGTTGTGGGAGCAGAGGATGACAGTGACCGTGGGAAGCCAAATTGAAAAGCAAACCCAAGAAAGCAAACAGGAAAACAGCCTACATTTCTGGGTGGGTTGTGTAAGACCCCCTTTAGCAATCCAGGTGCTGTGTTACTGTGGTGGCAGCTCCAGAAAACCAGCAGTTCCTCCGATTTGAGCTCTGTACCAGTGCAGCACACAGCCTGATTTTGGACTGGTAGTGATCTACCTGATGTGGTACCCCAAAGCAAATGGGCTCTCTCCATGAAGCAAAACCAGATTACTGGCAAATTTGGCTGTAGATTCCTTCACACAACCCACCCAGAAGGCAGACGAGCTTCTTGGAAGCTAGGGGTGAATTTTGGCTGATACATGCTATGGGCAGGGGTCACAGGCCCACCGTCCCCTGAGGACTGCCTGTTGGCACAGATGTGGTGGGTTAGTAGCCACTCAGCCCAGGCAGTGGGTCCTGTGGATTTATACAGGTTAATATCTCTAATCTACAGACACGGAAAGAGCAATCCACCTACTTATGCAGGGGGCAATGGGAGACCGGCTTTGCTGGTAGCCTTTGGCGCATCGATTGCACGTGATGCCGGTGACACCGTCTTTACAGGGACATTGGCCTGTGGTTTGGTTACAGGTTTGGCCGGCGGCACCCACGGGATGGCAATCGCACTCTGTGGGGGGAACACACAACAAGACGGTCAGGGAGGAAGAGCCAGGGTGCAGGTGGTGTTGGAGGGAACGGGGCTGCCGCAGCGCTCCCGGCACGGCTCCACCTTCTCCTCAGTGGTGCAGAGCTCCAGCAAATGTCCCGTCCAGCCAGGACTGCACCGACCTGAAACAGAGGTGGCGTTTGGCAGAGGGGTGTGCGTGGTCATCGCGTGGTGCGTAGGGGACAGTGCCAGACATGGGGCAGCTGAGCCGCAGCTGGTCCCACTGCAAAGATGGAACCACAGCCAAGACATCCTTCCCAGGGCAATGAGGGCAACTGCCATGGAGGCAGCATGGCGTGGACCTGCTCCAGGACCCCCATCCCTGCACACTGCAATGGCCATGTCCCACGGGTGCTGTGATCAACAGCATGCAGGACTTGAGGAGGAGGGGAGCAGGCAAGGCTTGGGGAGCCACAACACTCACTGCCCACATCCCAGCCAGCTTCAAACTCCCTTGGGGTCTGTAAGGAAGAGGTACAAAATCAAGGAGCATTTCATCACCCCTCCACACACGAGACCTCAGGCAGCAAACAACTGCTTTTAGACATGTTGGGAATTCATTTCACGTGCGCTGCAGGAAAAAAGAACCCACAAAACCACCCTCCTTTCAGTGCTCTTTCTTGAGCCCTTCCCCGCTGAGCAGCATCCCTGGCAGCTGGCACTGCGGGCACAGGAAGGAAATGCCCTTGTGGGATGCAGGCAGGCTGGAGGACCTGCTGCTCCCAGCCAGATGGATGGAGGCTTGACAGCAGAGCTGGGCAGATGTGAAGGGTTTGGCAGGGGATGTAAATACTGCACTTGAAAACATTCACCATCTCATTTCCCACAGTGGGACTTACCGGCGCAGCTGTTTGTTACAGGGGGAAAAAAAGCAGCTAAAAAACCCCATCAGGGCTTGTTATCATCACTGCTCCAAAAGGATTATGGCCTCGCACATTTGTTAACAGCCCTGATTTCTAAGAGCTGCAAGCGCCATGCCAGACTGTGGTCTGCCCCTGCTGAGCGGTGGCAGGGAAAGGCAGGAAAGCTTTCCTTTTCTTGTGCAGCATCCTCGGGAATGAGCCAGCCAGAACCCTGCCGGGGGAGCACTGCTCCTGCTCCCCTCCTGCCCCTCGGGGAGCTCTGATTTGGGGTTTTTGAACACTTCTGATTTAGGGGTTTTGAGTAGAAGTCCTGCTCTTACCCCCTGCCTGGAGCTGGCTCTGGAACCAGGCACTTCAGACCTGTCTGTAGTGGAAAACTTTTCTATCAAACCCCGTTTTGATTGGAAAAGTTTCAACATTGAATCAGTGTGGCTGGTGATGGGCGCAGAGAGAGAGGATGTTTAGGTGGGAAAGCCTGCACGCTGCAGCCCCAGGGGATGGCTTCAGTATTGCTGGGGGAGAGGAAATAAAAGTACCTTAATCAAGAGCCTGAAGAAGGAATGGGACAGAAAAGGGTTAAAGAAGAGCAGAGAGGCAGGAGTTAACACAAAAATAAGCAAATCAGGGAAGGGTTACACAAGAAGAGGCAAAGGGCAGGAGGATGGGGAGGAACATGCCTCATGTTTCAGGCGTCTCTGCTGGAGCTGCGCTTGCTGTTTTCAGGCATCGCCTGCAAACCCCCATCCTGTGAGTAATCCTCCCCCATGTGAACGGATTGCAGTGACTTCAGTGGGACCACATGGATGAGAGAGGGGGAAGAAAGAGGAGAAAAAGGGAAAAAAAAGCCTTTGTGATGAGTAAGATTTACAGAATCAGGCTCTTGGAGGACGGGCTGCAGAGCACAGAGTACTCTTTGGACACCACATAAATAAATAGCAATGCTGCTGCTTCCTTCCCTCATGAGGTAATGCCTCGGCACAGCTTGTCCAGAGCTGCCGTGGTTATTTTTACAGACGTATCTGTCTGAGGTTGTCTACTCTCTCCCCAAGCTGGGCTCCTGCAAGGGGTCTGCAGCACGGATGTTGGCCACGTCCCCATGGGCACGTGTGATGTGGTCTAAAGCACACAAGCGGCAGAGGCGCTGGGAATCACCGGCCCTTGGTCCAGGACCTCACCAAGAGAAAGCTCTGCTCGAAGGCTGCTGTCCTTCCAACACGCCGTGTGCTGAACGCTCTCTGGTTGGAGGGATGTGCTTTCTGACACTGGTCCCCAGCTCTTCACTGCAGCACAGGACTCTGCGAGCCTGGGACAAGTGTTTTGGGCAGCGCCACTCCGGCCCCTTCAATGCCTGACCCCATTTTGACTTCTCCATCTTCCAGAAAGCTCTCTGAAGCAGCAGCAGCTCAGCCCTCCTGGCATGGGGAGGCAGGAGGGGGTCTAAGCAGTGTCTGCAGATGCACATTTGAGGTCTCTATCCTGGAGGAACTGAACCAGTGCCAGCAATTAGGAACAATTAAAGGCAATTTGCAGTTCCCTGGCCAGGGCAAGCACTTGCAGCCAGAAATCACAGGCTCTTCCTTCTCCTTCCCCAGCCATGCTGGTGGTTAACACTGATTTTTCCAGTACAGTTCAAATTCCTTTACGTTGTAACCCCAAGCTAAGGCAAGACTGCCCTAGAGTCACAAAGGTGGTACAGACAACCCTTTGGCATCCTCACTGCCTTTCTGATAGACACCTTTAGATTCACAAAACATGTTTTCATGCCTGGACTTCCTGGGTGCAAGTGTTTGTTCATCACCCACCACGATGCACAGTATCCGCAGTCCCTGCACTAAGCAGAGCAGAGACTGTGAGGCAGAGCTGAGAAAAACCTCACTGATGACCAAAGGAGGGTGCCTGGGCCATCCTTGGAGATAATAAGGGGGATATCAGCTGATTTGTTGTCTGTATCCTCATGCTTTGCTTAAAGAGATCACTCCATAGAGGACAATGCAAGGGTGAAGGGAGTGAGATGTGAGAGGAGCAAGCAGGCATAATGTTGCAAGAAAGTGGTGCATCTTTAGTCTGGTAGTTCACACAGAATCAGGGGGAAGGGAAATAACTGTCATGATTTAGTTCTTTCATAAAACCTTTAAGGAAAAATCTGTGATGAGTGCCCGTGGCAGAGATGACCAGGAATTTCTGGTGGAAAATGAAGTTATTTCCTGCTTAAAAACCTGGCTGTGGAGGAGAAAACAAGGAATGGGAATATATAGTGAGGCTTTAATGGGGAATGAGGGCAGTGTGTGTGTAGGGTGCCTGTGTCCAGAAAATGTGATTTTTCTTATATAATAGCCATGACCTGGAAAGAAGGGAGTTAACATCATTTCTAGGTGATCACCTTCAACTTGGCTGGTCCAAATGTGAGGAGACCACGTAGGTCTGCGAGACTGACACAAAGTGGCCGAATGGGTGAGAGGATAGCAGAAAAATAACAGTGTGCAGAAGGATGCATAATTGGAAGGAGGAAACAGGATGGCTTATGCATGCTGAAGGATCCCAATTAACTACAACCACTCCAGGAAAAGATCTAGGAGTCAATGAAACATCTGGCTGATTGCAACAGAGCTCAGAAGAGCAACAAGATGGTAGGTTATATTATGAAAAGGGTAGACAGTAACACTGAATGTAATATCATGACACTATAGAAATCAATAGTACGTCCTCAGCTGGGAAACCAGAGTAAAAGGCGAGGAGAGGCACCCATCTGAGGGCGATGGAAAAGATTAGGAATGCCTTGCCAAGAGACGATGGAGGGATGCCAAGTAATGCACAGCGCCGAGAAGGTCAGACAGGTGCTCCTCTTCACTGGTCCTTAAAACACAGGAACAAAGGGACATTCAATGCATTTAAAAGGCAACCTTTTTCAATGATAAAAGGAAATGCTTCTTTGCACTGCACGTAATTAACTCGTAGAACTCATGCTACGAGACACCATGGCAAAGGCCCAACAGGATTAGATAGGCCTATGAATGAGAACATCTGTAGTTACATTAGCTGGGATTAATATATATACGGATATAAGCACTCCAAGCCAGCTACTAACTGCCTGCAGTTAGGAAGAGATTTCCCCTGGGGGCATGCTATTGCAAAACTGTCTGTCGTGGAGCTTTATAACTCTGTCTGAAGCTTCTAAGACAAGCCACTATTATATGTACAAATCTGCTGAGGCAGGCCATCGTCCGTTCGAGCAGAGGCGATGGTGCATTTTTCTGCCTTAGCTGAGATTTGGCTGGGTTGGGACTAAAAAATACCTGAAAGCAAGTGTTAGGACCATGCGTGGAGGGATGCGAAACGCCCTGGTGTGTCTGGGCCACTGAAGGTTGACAAATAGCATGCCAGAAACGCAACTATTTTCCCACCCCTGAGTTTAGGTCAGAGGTATTCCCAGCTGCTGATCTGCCCACACATACGTGTGCTGAAAGGTAAACGGTGGGCTAAATCTCCAGGCTTAGCTCTCTTCAAGTGTGACCTTTTCAGAGAAGGCACCTGAAAGGATCTGCATTTTTATGGAATTAGCATCTTCCTGTTCTGGGGAAGCTGCTTCCTTGGGAGGTCTTCAGAATGATGAAAAATCCACTTGAACAACAAAAACACTTGATATCGCGGGGTGTCCAGATTCCCTCCTGTCACACAGTGTCTGCAATGATAACTCCAGGGCTTCCAGATTTAAAAGCCCAAAGCATGACTGCTTTATGTTGTGCCGTGCATGGAGCAGTAAGCCAGCAATGCATTAAACCAGAAAAAAATACCTTAATTTGCAGTAGTCATCGGTGAATGTTCCTGTTCTGGTAAGGGACCCTCTTCAGGAAATCACAGACAGTTTAAAGTATGAAAATAAGTACCCTATAGCCAATGTGCCTTAGGTGCATGATTATATTTAACCATGCTTTTAAATGCTTTTCCGAAATCAAGGCCAAATTGCCTCCCTTTGATTGCTTTCCTTGTTTCCTCCAAAGACTCCAACTGGAGCAAAAAAACTGGTGCAGAAGCTTTCTGCTGGAAAAAAAAAACAAACCACCACCAAAATCAAGCTTCTGGTGTGGATGCTTTGATTCAGCAAAATGTCAAAACAACTGAACTTAAATTTTCCTGCCACTTCAATAGCACAGCCCATGTAACCCTGATGCGGTAAATGTATTTCACTTAGTTTTATGGTTTAGTATTTAGAGGCATGGTTCAGACAGTATTACTTAAGCAAGCTTTAGTGTAGTTGTAGAATTATTTTCTACTGCTTCAGTGTTTTTAGTAACTTGGATACTT